TTTTTTTAACCTGAACTTATCGTTAAAAAAAGGAACCAGGAAAAAGGGCCACGTCTATGTATTGAGTGACACAACTTCTCCCTAGGATGTGCTCCAGTTTAGACTAAATTAATCATGGCTCAAAGAAATGGATGGAACTTTTCACCGTACTTCGATCCAATACTTTTGTACCATAAATGTAACTGTTGGATCAAAATCCACCACAAAAGAAAAAGTAGAAAAAGGAACCTTCGTTTCAAGCTCAACACAATGCGCTGTGTGCCAGGTCATTCGCCAAGTCTCTTGGAGGTCATATACGTTTCATAGTTTTTTGAATCAAGAGAAAAAAAAGTGAAACTGAGGCGAAAAGTTATCTTGGCGACTTGTAACACAAAATCAATCGGTTTAGCTAATAACAAATATCTTTACCATGCACTGTTTTTATTGTCAGCGCAAATGGTGTGTATTATACCCTACGTGGGTAAAGTTTAGGATCACCAATCCTCAACAAAATGGAATTGTATTTCATAATGATGAACGCATTTCTCCGCATATAGTCATAATAGTATAATCAAACTTGTTCATACTGACCGCGCGCCATGTTATGCCAGTTGATTTTGACGTAATCATCCCTGTCAGGTCGATTCTGTTCGTGTAAAAATCCGATGGCGTGTCCTAACTCGTGAGTGATTGATCCTTGTACACAGGGGGGATCCCTTCAACGAGTTGAAATTTATATCCACATTTAGGTATTTTTCTTCTCTTTAAACTTATCAAGGCTACTTGGGTCGTTAATTTACAGTATTTAGCTGCTCAGTAAATTTAGAGTTATCAAATTCAAATTGCAGAGCAATCATTGCTCAATTTATTTGCAAAATTAATTTGAAAGTAACAATTAAGTATGATTTTTGAGCATGACAAAAGACTCTTTCCTACAAAATAAGTTAAACGTTACAAACTGGTTTACAATGGAGATACTGTACGTGGAACCAAAAACCCAGAAATATTTGATAAGAGGAGATTAAGATAATAATAAACGAGTGTGGAGCCAGTAGCCACTGCAGTTTGAGAGGCTGCATGTCAGCGAAGTAGTTCGTCCGAGAGTTTACACGAGGACGTGAGTAATTCTGCTACGTGTCTGAAACGCGGATGAAAAATGCGTATTTCAATCAGACTAGACTGGACTAGGGAAAAGTAAACTTATCATGACTCCATTCAATTGGGTAGGTTAAGAGGGATTTATGTAACTCGCAAACAGTAGGTTCATAGTGGTGATGCAGCTTAAGCGCGCCTTTTATAACTCACTCAGTGTACCGTCCAATAGAGACTTCTTGACGTCTACCAATATGGCCAAGATACGACCAGCAGCTGTTGAAAGTAGAGACAACACCAGGTAATTACTTTAAAGTTTAACAATAAAACGGTACGTACTATTACTTTAAGGAGTAAATACCTATATTTACGGAAATTTTTCACACTTACAAAGTAGCGGTTCTGTCTTGAGCTACTTTCGTAATGTTAATTTGACCCTCTACTTACCCCCTTTTGTAGACAAACTCGAGGTATCCTCTCTCTGACTCTCTCTGTTTAAATCGAAGACAAGGAACACGATCCGTCCAGTCTTTCATCGAGTTTC